ATTGGGATGTGTTGCATACGTCTGGAAAAAATGTGAAAAAAATATTATTTAAGAAGTTACGTTTACCTGGAGCCTTGCCATACTTGGCCTTCTCTTGCATTAAAGTCAATTACTTAATGATCCCTTCCAATTCTATGATTTGGACAGGACTCCAGCTTTGGAGGTATGACCTTCCTATGCAGTATTTTATAGTTGGTTGCTAAGCAGCAGTAAAAAAAAAACATGGCAGTTGCTTGTTAAAATATACAACAGTTGACCTTTGCAATCTGGCTACTCTACATACACAAAAAAGGATGGGTGTATCTAAATGTTAAAGATCACCTTCACCTTCCTCCTCCCAGTTCTGGTTTAAGCACCTGCTGTTTTAAAAGTACAATCATCACTATGAAAAAGGATGTCTGAGGTGACTTTTAAATGACCTCTGACCTCGGGGGTCAAAAGTTAAGCTGTCTATTCACTTATTTTCTTTTTCTGGTGGCATGATAAAAGAATATATCAGATGTGTGCTGTTTACTGCTATCCTCACTTAGTCATCTCCGACAATTCTCTGATGGATTTTTTATTTACCTTTCTTTCCAATACACCCTCTGAAATGACTCACAGATACATTAGATACAAAACATACCTTTATGCCACCTACAAAGGAACCAAGATGTTTGATTTCAGGGTGCATAAGAGTTTGACTAACAACTGGATTTTATGTTTTCAAAAACTGGGAAGGCAAGAAATCAACTGTTTGTTTCTTCAGCCCAGTAGCTCTAGCGAGAATGTGGGTGCAATCTTCAACCCGAAGGCAGAGTGTTGTATGAGCAGCTATGATATCTCTTTTATGCTCCATTTTAACATTCTGATCTCATGCAGCCTTCATCATCTCATGCAGCTCATCATTGATGAGCCTTTTCGTTCTCACTCTCTTTCTAATTTTTGAAACATTTTGGTTGCTGAAGAAATCTAAAGACCTTGCTATCACTGAAGTGGCCTAAAATATTATTTGTTCTGTCATGGATTGACTTCTCTTATGAGCAATAAACTTCTATTTTTTAAAAAGTAAAACAGTAATATAAAGTGGAAAAAAAGCATATTCATTTAGCACTAGTGACTGCAAACCTTTATAAAGATCTCATACTTAGTAGTTTATTCATTTCTTCCCAGTTTGCCTATAGTTACAAGGACCATTTGATTTTTATTATTATAACGGACATTTACCGCTAGTCCTCGGGATACAACTATTCAGTCAGGTTTACAATAGTGCTGAACTGATAATTATCACAGGTCCTCATAGTTTCAGCTGTTGCAAAGAGCCATCGTCATATGATCATGTTTTTCAAGATTTTCTGCTAGCTTCTCACAAGCAAAGTCAATGAAGAAGTTGGCAGAAGTCAGAAGTTGCAATCACATGAGGTTCTTACTTAAAAATCAGCATGACCCTCCCTGAATGACAGCAACTGGGACAACCAGAACTGCCAGTACTAAATAACCTGCTCACATGACATTAGTCTTTGACTGTTCTGCTTAGTGACAACAGTCCCCACTGCAAAATATGCAGACTGAATTGTCTTGGTTTTTTAAAATTATATAATAGTGTTTGCTTTTAGATATTTTTTATTAGGATATGCATTTTTGTAAAGTTTCTCTTGGTTTTGCTCTTGAATTTTCCTTTGTGAAGCAGTTATAAACAACATTTTAATCCTTCTGAATTTTTTTCCCAGATTGGCCCGTTATGTTTTTCAAGAAAATATGGTTACTATACCCAAAGTAGATTTCTAGTACATATGGTCATAAAGATGGTTTCATGGTTGTTTTCAAAGTTATTTAATGTGTAATGTAAAGTATTAACACTATTTAATAAACATTATTTGAATATACAAATTAGCCCTCTTTCAATCTCATGTAGTAATGGACTACAGAGTTTGTATTTCTGAAAACTGATTATTTATTAATCTGCTTTATAGTGTTCCTATTTGACTGCTTAGCAAATTCAAAAGAATCTCTTTTCGTTGCACAGGATGGAGAAATGTGAAATGTGTAGATAATTGGTTTCTGCCTGACAAAAGTAATTCCCAGGAAACTAAGTAAAGAACCAATGCTGCCTTCAAATTAATGCTGTCTTCTTGCTTGCTTATCCACTGAATCTGTATACTTCTTTTTTAAAAATTGCAAGATTACAAAGCATCCCGTGTTTTTTTTCCTTGCAAAGATAACTTAATATTCACATGCTTCTGTTGTTTCCAATAGCAGAGAGAAAATAGAAAACCGGTTCAGCTCTTAACAAAATGTCAGTTAAGACATTGCGTTTTTAATATAAAAAAGACTGATTTTGCAAATCTTTTTAATATATTAGGATTAAATAGGGAAATGTACAAGAAAATATATAAAAGATTCTTGGCCAAACAAAGGGGGCTTACAAAACATAAAAAGTGCCAACAAAATAAATCTTTGGTAGAGACATTTAGTTAAAAACACACATTATATATTAATAGCAAGAAGATATACAGTAATAAAACGGTATACTTAAGAAATACTACATTTACTTTTCTCACTATAACATGAAATATTTACCTTTTGTTTTTGCATCAGAACATTATTTTAATTTAAAGAGAATTATTTTTTTCCCCATTTGTTTAGTGCATTTGGAAACTTAATCATCAGAAATAAAAGTTAAAATGGACAATGCCAATACAAACATGGATATTTTGAGACATAATTGAAATTATTTAACCAGTAAGCTGTACCATGTATAGATCTAACAGCAGTTTTAGAATTTCTTCATAAATTCTTTGCATTTTGCATTGTTGCTAAAAGTACCAGAATCTCATGAATCATTGTTAGGTTTTCACATATCAAATCTGCATATTTAACTACAGTCACAAAAGATGTGACTACAGTGTATTTAGACAATAATAATAATAACCTTTTTAATTATTTCCAACACGAGAATGCTGAAAAATATATAAGAGGGCTTGAGATCCCATCAGCAGGGTAACTGAAAATTGAACAGAACATAACTGTATTTTCCATGGCAAAAGAAAAATTGACTTCCAAAATGAATAGAATTTGCTTCTGAGACAAAAATTGGGACAAAGCTACCAGTCCATCTTGAAGGAAGAAAAAGATGGGCTCAATAGGTTGTCAATGTTTCCATTCTATTCCCCCTCCACCATGCTGTCCTTCCTTCTCAGTCTTCCTTCTCAGACCTAAAGACATATTATTTCTAAGATTTCCCTTTTTTGTTCTTTTTTTAAATACAGTCATAATAATTTATACAGTCGCTATTCAATTCTCAGGATTACATCTTTACTTCAAATGCAAAATTGTTAGCGTCTTAATTCAGCAAGATTTACTCTGGAATAAAACTTTCTGCACTAGGATTTCTACTGTCTTCATATGTAAACCTTGGGCCCCTGAGACAGTATTTTAAGATCCTCACAATTCTGGTAATATCGTAGATGAAGGCTTTAAACTTGGGGAAAGAATTTGGCACCTGATAAACTTGGTCCTTTTTAAGGCGACCAGAATTCCAGAAAACCTCAAAAGGGGAGTTCTTTAAGCCATTCCCAATCTTTATCACACACCCCTCCACTGATTTAAACCTTTTTCTTCCAATGTTAATAATTTAAGAAAGGAAATTTCAGGATTCATATATTGCACTAAGCCATGTTTTTTCTTAGCCAAAATGTGCTGAACGAAGACATCATTATTTCCTTTGCCCACAATGCAGGGGTGAAATCCAAAATTTTTCCCTACCGGTTCTGTGGGCGTGGCTTGGTGGGCATGGCAGGGGAAGGATATTGCAAAATTTCCATTCCCACTCCACTCTAGGGGAAGGATACTGCAAAATCTCCATTCCCTCCCCTCCTGGGGGAAGGATATCGCAAAATTTCCATTCCCACCCCACTCTGGAGCCAGCCAGAGGTGGTATTTGCCAGTTCTCTGAACTACTCAAAATTTCCACTACCGATTCTCCAGAACCTATTAGAACTTGCTGGATTTCACCCCTGCCACAATGCTAAGTCATAAGCCATGAGTTAGAAAATACACAATGACTGTTCATCCCACATCCATGTTAAAGGTCTACTGGGCTCTCCACGTAAAGAACACTGGCTGTTGAGCGCCATAGGAGTTGCAAAAAAACCGCCTTCCGTTACGTCTTGCTTTTACTCTTTCTTTCCTCTATTATATCTTGCTATTACTCCTATGATTTTTGCCCCATCTTGAAATGATGTAAAATCATTCCTTGGAGCTAGAAAATAGCAGATAGTATAATCAGTGCAAGCTGTTTATTTCCTTCGCAGTAGCCCTATAAGAACCTTCACAACTTGGTGAGCACCCAACATCAGGGACTCTATGTCTCATTTGGCATTCAGCCATAATCTTACAGGTGGTAGCTTCATTTCATTGCCTGCTCAGCCAAGCACATACATTAAAGGTCAGAACCTGCAGGTCCTCTCATACTGGGCAGGACTCCTAGAGCAACCACACATGATCAGCAGTGTAAAACTACTCTGTCATATGTCAGTCTAATCCCAGCTTCTGAAATGTTCTATCACTTGGACATCAGAGTTAATCTCCAGTCTAATTAGAAACTATTAGACCGCTTTCACATGAAAATTTTGCATGCCTACTGACAATCAGGATGGAGAAGTCTTCACAAGTGTAGACAAATTTTGTAACGCTCCTGTGTCAATCAGAAGTTTTTGGATTTGATTGTTTTTCTACATGTATATCATCAGGCGTGAATAGCTTTTTCCCCTTTATTAATTGGATGCAGAGCTGGGGGGCTATTCAGCAGGTTCTGGCAGGTTCTGGAGAACTGGTAGCGAAAATTTTGAGTAGTTCGGGAAACCAGCAAATACCACCTCTGGCTGGCCTCAGAGTGGGGTGGGAATGGAAATTTTACAATATCCTTCCCCCAGGAGTGGGGAGGGAGTGGGGATTTTGCAGTATCCTCTCCCTGGAGTGGGGTGGGAATGGAAATTTTGCAATATCCTTCCCCTGCCACGCCCACCAAGCCACACCCCCAAAACAGGTAGTAAAAAAATTTGAATTGCACCACTGATGCAGAGTACTGTATTTGTAATGTGTTTCTGTATTTGGTCTATGACTGTACAGTATTTTAATAAACTAAATTAAACACTCTCATTTGGCTCAGCTGGAATGCATAACAATAGTGAGGTAGAACAATCTTAATTAGTATAAAAAAGATGTTATTACCTCTATTAATTTAGTTCTAGGCTTAAGTTTATCATACCTCTTATTTCCCATCCCCCAAAGCCTATTTTTTTAAATAAAACAATTGCAGGGGGATTGAAGAAGGTTATAACTGAGAACATACGTTCTAAAATGTATTAGGAGTTATTTTTTTTAATTAGCTGAAGTTTAATTCATTAATTCATTTATTGGCATACTACCCATTAATACAACGTACAATTTAAACTGCATGCCTTTATTGGGAAAATGCATTTGTATCCTCATCCTTCATAAAGCAAATGGGCCTATGAATAAATAAAATCTGGACATGAAAGATGAAAAAAATATTCCAAGGAGTAGAATATTTATTATCATTTGGCTTTAGATCACTTTGTAGGGGGCAAAGTCCTTTATAAGTAATTTTGCCCGACCTGCTGCCCTCTAGAAGCCTTAGCTTCACCTCTGCTTCTGAACTCTGTAGTTTTCATGACGTACATATAGAAGACTGGGGCCCTTGACAGGGGCAATGATATCAGAGTTTCAGTGAAAGAAATGGAAAATGATAAAATAAAAACCCACCTAGCTAGAAACACACATGCCACAGAGTTTCATTCCCCCTCCCCATTTAAGGGTTTTGCTTTGTCATTTAACTGTAAATATATAATATCGGTAGCTAATTTTAGAGTTCAAATAGCAGTCTTTAACTCAAGAAGACTTTTAACTCTTAACAATGAAGTCTTTTAAAAAAATAGAAACTTGGAAGTGGCTGTATCCAATGTTGATAATTAAGTGAATGAATGACACCCAGTTTGAGGCAGTTTATGCAGAAGATTAGGTGCAGTGAAATCCCTCATAGAAAGAAATCCATAAATGATTCATGTGATCCTGTATTTATTTTAAAGACAATTAAATAGCACCTCTGATTTATAAAATGCCATTAACAACAAATGAGACAGTTGTTTTTCTATTAAGCTGTGCTTTTGAAATTATTTAGTTATTTTTTTTATCTGCAAATGTTCTGGAAAATGTAATCCCAGCCAAATTTAAGAGTTTTTTTCCTCACATTATAAACCCAGTTGAAATAATTCTTAAATCCATATTTTTTAAGGTAGGCATCTTTGAATAATTCAGAAATAACTAAAATCCACTGTTGATTATATTTGAGCAAGCATAGTGGGCATGATCCATTCCCATCTGCTCAGATGTATTCCTTATGCATTTTGTTTTGGTTAAATTTTTATCTCCCTCAGGTTTTGACATATACTGGATGAAAAATAGTAAATGAAATGCACACATCCTAGCATAAAGATTGCACTGAACTGGACATTTCAGGTAAAGGAGAAGACCTAGCAGTGCTCAACTAACTTTGACATTAATGTATCTTAAATGAAAAAAAGTTTTTTTAATGAGTAGCCTTGGCTCCAGAGCTCCAGATATTTTCTTTTACAATACCCAATTTATAGTATTGTAAAATAGCCAATTTATAGTAGGCACTGTCATCACATCTCTTGAAATGGATACAATGAGATGTTCACAGTTGTAATTGTAGATGTGGCTGCTCAATCGATGTGGTTTCTTCCCTTAAGAAAGGAAGTGGAGAAGAAATAATCAGTTGTTCTCTGTGGTATGTTACAGGAAGTGGGAAGGGATTTGTTCTACCACAGGAGAAGATGCACAACTGCAGAATTTGTTTGACTTAGATTTTCAATTAACCTGTCAATCCAGCAGCCAAATCATCAGGAACTGAAATTCCCAGAGTTCCTAGCCAGCTGTTTTAAAACTTACAGTGTCACTCAGCCACAAGCTACTGACCCTAACAATTTTCATTTGTATGTCACAATAAAGGGCAAGTGATCCATTGGCGACTTTCAGTAGACCCAGTCAAAGTCCCTTGCAGTCAGAATCAAAGCCCTTTATAGCCAATTAGACTATTGGAATTCTTTTTAATTATTGAAAGCCATGTTCTTCCTCAGAAACACTTACATAAAATACATTTGAGTTTTAAAAGACCAAGATGGACCAAATAAATAAATAATTAAATAAATAGATTAACACTGTATAGAAACAAACAACTACCACAACCGGTATCAAGGGGAACTATCAAATTGCAATCAGGATGATTACCCTGACTGACTGATTATGGAGATGATGTTTCTGACCAGCATTCTGGGATGTTGCTGCTTGTGTTGGGAGAAGGGACCTCAGAGTCTTCAAGGAGAGTCAGTTCTTCCATGTGTTCCAAATGTGGATTCTGCTGGAACAGGCCCAGTATCCTTTCTCGTGGATTCACACCTGTTTGCGGCAGCCCTTGCTCCCCAAGGACCTTGACGAGGAAGTTGATGTACCTCATGGCTAAGCGAAGAGTCTCATTCTTGCTCAACTTTTTGTCAGGAGGATGGGTGGGAATCAGCTTTCTCAGCTTGGCAAAGGCACTGTTGACGTTTTGTTGCCTCCACCTCTCCCTGCTGTTGGTGAAGATTTTTCTGGTCATCCTCAAGACTGGAAGAACTAGGAAGAGAATGACAGGAGGAGGGAGACCATTAGAAAAGACATAATAAAAAGACAAAACAGCTCATTCAATTGCAAATGAGGTAGAAAGTGTGACTCCAAGAGTTGAGTTATGGTACATAATATTGAAAATGAAAGCTTCTTAATAAAAAGGGCCCCAGCAGGAGATACAAATATAGTATCGCCCTTGCATATGTATTCAGAGGTATCCGATTCCAAGCAAAGAGTTCTATTACTATTGTAGCATCTATGCTTACATATAGACATATTGTAGATATAGAACTGATAAGGTGCTTCCTTATGCCAAAAGCATGATGTTTCCTTTATTGAGACCAACCAACATGCACAAAGGGATGTATAAGCATTCTCCAGATGTATTTATTTATTTTTAATAATAATTTTAATAATATTTAATAATAATAATAACAAATAATTTTGTACAATAATAAAAGCAATACAAATTTAAGAATGAGAAAAAGAGTGAAGAAAAATAGTGAAAAAGTAAAAAGAAAGGACCAAGAAAGAAAAAGAAAAGAAAAAATATAAAGAAGTGGCATTCAATCTTCACAGTAGTTCTGAATAAATTTAGATTACCAGTCCTTCCTCTTTAAATTACGATTCCATTCTTCCCATATTTTACCCTATCTAACAATCAAATCCATAAATTACTAATTCATTTTTTTCTGTTTTCAGCAAAATATCCATAAAGACTTTCTCCAGAATGCTTCATATGGGAAAATTCAGGGAAATGCAAGGAAGTACAAAATTAAGCCATATAGATGAAAAATTTAGTAATAATAACACTAACGACTCTAAATACTGAACCAGTTAATTTTCCATAATCGACACTCAACTCCTGATTCAGTCCTCCCATCTCAAAAAAATTCTGCATTCTGTTTATTTAAAACATATTCCCTTTCAAGCCATCACAGCAAGTAGTTACAGTTAGTCAATGAAAAAGGTGCCTTGTTGAAAAAAATGCCAATATGTTATCTTTTCACAGTCATAACCCAGAGGAGCTGTTCAATACACTGGAGAAAATATGGCTTAGCAGCTTTATAACATGCATTCTCTCTTAGCAACTGTGGAGATTTTCTAGAAAAGTGGATAAATACAACGGGGTCTGAAAATGTGGGATATGGCGGCTAATCTTTTATTCCTTTTTTGGATTGGGTGGAAATCTAAGGGTTTTTGTAATTCCAATAGGTGCTGCAGAAAAAGGCTATACTCTATGCCATGGGTGTCAAATTCACATCATCATGTTGCCATCACATGACATTCTGTGACGTTTTTCCCATTCACCGGGCTGGGGTGGGCATGGCCTGCGCATGACGCATCCGGCCTGAGGGCCACCAGGGATAAACTGTAACTGTAAGACCTGTGGACTTCAACTTCCAGAATTCTCCATGCTGGCTGGGGAATTCTGGGAGTTGAAGTCCACAAATCTCAAAAGTTGCCAAGGCTGGACACCCCTTGCTTTATAGACTCTGTTACATGGATTTATACGATCTGAAGAGAAACATGGATATATACGATTAATCCTGAAAGGATAAGACCAGTGCAGTGCAGCACAGTTGGGCTCACAAATTCCAATGGAGAAGTAAACAAGTCAACAGATAATTATAACTGAAATCCAGAATGCCAGTCTAAACCAGTATCCCTCTTCTTTTGCTTAGGTGCCAAGTTAATATGCTTCATAAACACATTAAATACTGTAGTAAATGAAAAGCCTGTAACTTCCCATTAGCACAGCACTCCAGTGTAAGCAGCACTATTTGTAGAAGGGCAGCAAGAGCTGCCTCGCTTTCTTTCTTTGGTGCTCTTCTTTTGTCAATACAAGCCTTGTGAGCAAATAGCAGGCTTTGTGATTTCCTCCATTAGAAGGCATGTTTAAAAAATGCACCCTTGTATCTCTGACATTTGAACAAGATCGGCAAACAGTAATACCCTCTCTCTCCATCTTGGGTATCTTTCATAAAAAGCTGCTCCTGGTTGCTCTTTCATAAGATGGGAGTAGAAGAACTTTTATGGCAACCAGGCATGAAACCCAAACCATTTATTCACATCCTGGTTGTGCTACCCACAAATGGTGAGTTTGCCTAATTGTTCTATCCCATCAGAAAACTATAGAGCAACGACAGTATATATATATATATGTCCCAAATCATGCAGTAATTTTCAAGTGACATTGAGACTCCAATGTGGTCTAAATGAGGTTGGTTGTTTGGGGGTCTTCTGAGCAAGCCCCACGGATGCTGTTATTCTGCTTCCCTGTTCTATTGTGATGCTGATTTTCAAAATTAAATTGTAGTGAATGTAGAATTCAAATTAAGTTACTCCTGAGAAGCACCATAAAAAGAATTAATTATGACCAATTTAGAATTCCACTAATGTAAATAAGATTGAGATAGACTGGGCTATACTCCTTGTAAACTCTAAAAGTAATTTATTTGAAGGGCAGTATCTAAGTGTATTCTTTAAAAGCTAATAGCATGCAATATACTCTAGTAAAGTGCTGCCCATGTATTCTTTGTATTGTTTCAGATGGCGCACTTAGAGAATGGCTGGAAAATCTGGTTGGGTTTTTTTTACTGGCAGAGAAGCATCCCAACAATTCAGACCCATGTTTTCTTCTTAGGAAGAATCACTCCAAAAAAGGACATCAGGCAAGGGTTCCAAAGGTTTTCAGAAGTAGTTTGCCTTCTTCCTAGGGCTGAGAGAGAATGCGGAATGAATGTACAATATATTAATTTCCGTGACATTCCATTCTGCTCCATCATTCCCATCTCATCTACAGTTACTTAATTTTTCTGTAGTCTCTGACGATGCTCCTTTCTCTATCAGTTGTTCTGGGGTGCTTTCTTAATTTGTTCCCTCTGTATATTATTTATTCATTTATTTGGATATTCAGTATTGTTGTTGTAAATCCCTATAGAGGTTAAGAGTGGTATGGTACCATTTTGGTGCCTTTGGTATTGAGACCAGAATCAGTTTGGGGTAGTGTTTAAAACATGAGGTTAGAAAACCAGAGACAATGGGTTCTAGTCCTCCCTTAGGAGGTGGTGAAATCATTTTTTTTTTTACTACCAGTTCTGTGGGCGTGGCTTGATGGGTGTGATGTGGCTTGGTGGGTGTGGCAGAAAGATACTGCAAAATCTCCATTCCCACCCCACTCCAGGGGAAGATACTGCAAAATTCCCATTCCCTCCCCACTCCTAAGGGAACGATATTGCAAAATCACCATTCCCACCCCACTCTGGGGCCAGCCAGAGGTGGTATTTGCCGGTTCTCCAAACTGCTCAAAATTTCTGCTACCAGTTCTCCAGAACCTGTCAGAACCTGCTGGATTTCACCCCTGGCACAAAGTCAGCTCAGTGACCTGGTGCTAGTCATTCTCCGTGGGTTTTACGTTCTTGAAAATCTGCCACGAAAACATATACTGTGATTATTGAAGTGTTGGCCTTAATGAGATCACATGACCTATTAGAATGATGTGGAGATTTGTTAACACAACAAACATACAAGAACAGGAATGTGGTTTCCATTGTATTGAAGCTGCATGGTAAGGCTCTTTTTTCCTGACTGCACATGGCTGTGCATAGATGCATATGACCCATATTTTATTAAAGATGGGTTATGCATTTATAGAAGGCTATAAGCAAATATGTGCAAACAGAATGCATAGATAATGAAGACTGAGTTGTTTAGGAGTCTGAACAACACACTCAAATTGCACTATTTTGTGTGCAGGGCCCCTTGCTTTCCTGTATTAACAAAGCAGAGTATATAAAACCCTTTATCTTCTTCGGTTGCCATGTTCTCAGCAAAATATGTCAGTGAAACTAGCTACTTCTTTCTGCTTCACAGTTTAGTAAAAAATATTGTAGCAGTATTTAGTTGACTAATGGCCAAAGAATCCAACTCTGAAAACATCTTTGGTAATAATATAAGTAAAAATTAAACATTTTTAACAGTTGGAGGAGTCCTTGATTATTGTTGGAATAAAAGCAGTCAGGGAGGAAAAACAGATTCAACAGATATACATATATAACCAGGAGTGAAATCCAGCAGGTTCTGACAGGTTCTGGAGAACCGGTAGCGGAAATTTTAAGTAGTTCAGAGAACCGGCAAATACCACCTCTGGCTGGCCCCAGAGTGGGGTTGGAATGGAGATTTTGCAATATCCTTCCCCTAGGAGTGGGGAGGGAATGGGGATTTTTCAGTATCCTTCCCCTGGAGTGGGGTGGGAATAGAGATTTTGCAGTATCTTTCCCCACCAAGCCATGCCCAGCAAGCCACACCAAGCCCACAGAACCGGTAGTAAAAAAAATTTGAATTTCACCACTGTAAATAACCCTTGTAGCCCCTCCAGGAAAGCTGTTTCCTATTTTATCATATATTTTAAAGAACAGTAGTGGTTACTCAAGGAAGGACTTATATAGGAATCCCTGGAAGAAAAGGATGTTTTGTTGTGTGCCTTAAAGAAGGGATAATTTTTTTGGAATTCCCCACTTCTCTTTCCAAAGACACAGATCAAGGGAACTTGTGCTGAATATTCTTAGGGCAGCATCAATGAGGAAGAATTGTTTATTCTCAGCAAATCCCAACACTGTTTTAATTCTTTTGTTCTAGGTAGTCAACAACAAACTCCCAGACCCCTAACACAACTGAAGCATACAAAATTGAATTGCAACTGAAGGCATAGCTAGTTAAAAGATACATCCCAGGAACTTTTCCTTAAAGCAGCTTTCGTGAGCAAAGAATCAATCCGTAAACTATTAAAAGAAACCATTTTTAAAATTCAGAAAGAAATTTAAAATCACAATGTAATTAAAAATCATGAAAATCTCATCTGGACTTTAAAGAAGCAAGATAAAATGAGTATTGATGGTTTTGAACTTTTATGTTGGAGAAGATTCCTGAGAATACTGTGGGCAGCCAAGGAAGCAAACAAATAGATGTTTGAACAAAACAACTCAGAGTTTTATCTCAAAACACAAATCATCAGGCTCAAATTATCCTACTTCACATTCATTATACAAAGACCTCACTCTCTGGAGAAGGCTCTAATGCTGGAAAAAATGGGGAAAAGAGAGTACAACCAATAACAAGGTGGATGGACTCAATTTCAGCTATGATGGGTTAATTAGTAGAACTGAAGGACCAGGTTAAGGACAGATCTTCTGGAGAAAATCTAGGTATATCTGCTTGCTTAACAATGAACACCAACTTAATGATAATGAATCACAAAAAATTACTCATCACATATGTAGACATTACTCTACTTATGAATTTTCAAGTGACAGACTTTCACCAATGTGAACAAATGTATCCACAACTCTAATGGTCCCTAGTAGTTCCCAGAGGTAAGGAGAAGGTGGGAAAGATTTAGCTTATGGCATGCTGCACATACGTACCCTTGGCAGCACCATCACAGGAGCCTCCATGAACAATGAATGCACCCTATGCTCAAGGACGCAAGGCTGACAGACCTCCTTGGCTGAGTAGATTGCAAACAGATGGAGAGCCACCCAAATGAGAATTCAAGCACCCTAGGAGGAAAGAGGGACACCAAGGTGGGGAGGAGTCTGCTCTGCCTGAACAACAACCCAGAAGGCTGGCCCATGGAGTCAGCATATGTCCTGATTGGGAACAAAAGTATTGAGCCATGCCTAGGATCACCCGGAAGGATGGTCTGCACCTATGTCTCCTCTGAAAGTCCTTGGAGAAGCCACCAATAGATGCTCCCCTGCTTATCCTCACGGAGAATGGAAAAAGAACACAACATCTCCACCAAGAAAACAACATTTGCACTAAATCTGACAGGGAAAGCTATTGTATATAAACAAAGAGTAGACATACACACACACACCGCCATTCCCTTCCAACACTGAAGATATCCTAGTCGGATAATGAAATGTCAGTAGCCAAACTACCATCTCAGAGGGTACCAAGGACTCTACAATTCAATTCTGAACTATATATTTTCTCTTCTGTTGGTAAAACACTGTCAAACTGGGCCCATATCACTGAGAATACTGGTTATGTATACGTAAAATCCAACCACAACTTCAGTCTTAGCCGTTCTTCGTAGGGTCAGCTCTTGAGGCTTGCTTCTTTTTTTTAACTACATTCCTATTTTATCTTGATTTGGAAACATAGAAACCTAACCTAATTTATATTTTAATTAGAAACAAGTAATAAAAATAAGAAGTATACAAGAAGTATACAAACAATAAGCATACATTTTAAAGCAGTTACATTTTAAATAAAAAATAAATATGTTTTCTTCAAGTCAGAGGCTTCAGAACTTGTACCTCAACTTTGAACCATGATATACTAAAAAAAAAAAAAAAAAAAAAACTTGCAGAATTTTGGATTAGAGTAATCATGCTGCAATTAAATGCTACTGACATTAATGGAACTGCATTCAAAGTGATACTTAAATTCACCTAATGGCCTGCTTTTATCTAAATTACCAGAAACATAACAATTAAAAACCTGGCAAAACAAGCTAAATTTAAAAAAAAGTAACATTCACTCTACAAGAAAGGAGAAAGCAGTCATTTGGTAGTGTTCAGAAGAGACACTCGTTTGCAAATCCATCTATTCAAAATAATGTCTTCACTGTTTACAGTTGTTGTTTTTGTAAATTTATTCTTTGATCCATATAAAAGTGCAGTATTGATCAAAATTAGCATGCAGTCCTCCTCAGAATAATGTTGATTATGCAGAAGAAAGCATTTCTGAACAAAGAGTGGGAGAATAACTAACCAAGGTGAAATATAACCCCTTCTTGCTTCCAATGTAGAGGAAAAGTAATTTCACCCTTTCTTCCTTTTTCTAATCAAATCACCCCCAGAAGCTATTTATATAGAGTAGTTGCAGGGAACAATTACCTCTTGTCTCCAACAATAGAATTTCAAACTAGACTATCTTTGACCTCAAAGATACAAATACCACAATCATATGTAAATTCAGGTGCAATCAAACAAAAAGTGACTATGAAGATACAAGAATATTTCCTTTTTAAGAGTTTAGTAAAATTCGGCTTCAGGTATGTATATAATGGAAGGGATTCATATCAAGACCAACATATAGGAGGTAGGATTTAATCCCTTCCTCATTCATGCTTTTCTCCATAAAAATTACTACTCGGTCCCCTGACATTGGTTCTCCTTAGCAAAGCAATGAGCAGCAGGAGTACTTTTATGTGGTGTCTTGCAGTGTCTGGATTGCAAACCTTCATAATCTGCCATTTGCACCAGGTTTTAGTTAAATATATTTCTAGAAGTGGTATTTTTGTGAACAGGTCAGGTTTGGGTTTTGGAATTCTGATGAGCAGAGCCAATAAGATATTTAGGGAAAGGTGTTGAAAAGGTTCCGCCATGTTAAATTTTTTGTTCATGCCCATCAATTTCAGGAAGAGAATTAAAGATGGGCTTAAATCATTCTCGCTGAAAACATCATGCCTCCTGATTGGATCAAATATGTGGTATATATTCAGCAAATTCCTATGTGCCTATAATAACATATTGCTATAAGGCAAATATTTTGACATGCTTTTCCATTAAAATAAGCTGTTGGTGATTATATTAGCACCTCTGCATTGCCATTTTTTTTGGCTATAATACCAAAATGGCTTTTGATTATATATGGATTTTGTTTGATTGCTGTCATGTTGTGAGGCAAAATTCCAAATATAGCTTTGTTTGGTTGTCATTGGTACATTTTTAATAGCCTGGAAGCTATTAACTTTCTTTTTAAATTTGATCAATTCAACATTGTTGATGGAATAGATATTGATTTTTTTAATTATTCTAATCAGAAGTACACAATTCTTCCAATATAATAGAGAAATATGCTTCAAAAGAATAAGCATTATTTCAGTAGTATTCAGTAGCACTCATTTCATACAGAGCCATTATTACAGTGGTTTTAACATCAGGACAGCTTTATAGGAATTTCCATGAAATGCCGCATTACAAATTTTTATTCTATCTCTTGGAATAATTTAAAGGTTAAGTGAAATACTGTAAATATACAGACATGTTTCATGAACTAGCAAGATTTCATAGTAAAATGTAAAAAAGTGTTTCATTTTAAAATAATAGACAGGCTCATAAAATAATTAGTAAACTGTGAATAAAAGGAATACACCTTTCATATTATACAGAATCCACGAACTGCTCAAAAAAATAAAGGGAACACAAGCAGAAGACATCCAAGATCTGAATGAATGAAATAGCCTTATTAAATACTTTGTTCTTTACATACAGTAGTTTATACACTGCTCAAACAACTAAAGGGAACACAAAACTGTTGTATGTATTATATATATAATGCTTCTCCAGTTGAGTGGCTTGTTTGTTTGTTTTCTATGCAACAAATGACAAAATTTTAAGAGATTTCTTATAAAGTTTAAGCTTAAGAATGTGATTTTTATCTTTATGTACCCATTTATGGGGTGTTAGTCAGACCTACAAGTAGTTAAGTCTGTAATTACAACAACAATCTGAAAAATAATTGAGGCAGGCAATCATCTGTTAAGCAGAGGCATTTCATACATTGCCTCAGCAAGATCACGCATGTCAACATAGGGAAAACCAGAGTCCTCACTTTTAAAAAAACAAAAACAAAGATGCAGTGAGGGCAAAGGGCATTTCCAGGAAAACATGAAATGCTGCAACCTGTAGTGCACCTGAAAACCCTGAACACGCCTTTATTTAGGGAAGTTTTCAGAAGGCAAAATTCCCCAAATACTGAAGGAAAAAAAAAGGTGGGAGCAATACGAATAGTTTGCAACTTACCTTTTCCAAATAAGCAGGACAGTCTGGCTGTAGAGAAATATTCACAGCAGCTGAAGTCGGCGAGCCTCTCCTCTTCGCAGCTCTCGGGTCTCTCAGCTTCAAATCGCCAGAGCCTCTTTCCTGACAATCCAGCCAAATGCCAATCCCAGCCTGCCGTCTCATTTATAGAATCTGGGCTCCTTTGTCTGGCGCGTGTCAGCACTAATGTGGCTGATCTTGGCAGCTTATTCCACATCTCCTGGGAGATTTTTTTCCTGCTGCCATCTTCTTCCCTACTTACTCCCAAGTGGGAATAGGTGGAACCAGTGGTGCAATGCTTTGTTCCAAAACACAAGGGCTCCTTCAAATCCAGGACACTTAGGAGAAAGCCTGAAAGCTTGATGTTTTGCAAAAAGCCCAAACTCAGCAAATTCTGCAGCTTTAAGTCTGGGCCAGGCCAAGGTCGAATTTTGCTTTGGAATCTAGCAGGAAAGGGAGCGTGGGTTGTTCAGCTATGGATCTGGTGCATCAAGCATCAAATCAACATGCAGAGTCAAGTACTCCTTCTCATTAAGTATCACAACAATTCGATTGCAGACTTGGGAGAGAGAGCAGGATTGGAAAGTCTAGCTTTTAGAAGAGAGGAAGCTGAGTGCTCTTGTCCAAAATTAATATAACATCAATTAAATGCTTTATGAAAAGAAACCTTTATGAATCGTGACTGTTGTTCCTTTTAGAGGATAGGCAACATTTTTGTATCTGATCCCCATGCAGATAGTAAAATATTTCATATCAATTGCAGGTATGTTTAGATGTCCAATTGAAAATGAGGGATGTAGGGGAGAGATGATCTATTGCTTCACAGATGTCGATGGGCAAAAAAGTCTCAGGTTCAAAGCATTTCACATATGGAGCAAGAGCAGTTCCCCTAATCTCAGAGGTGAACTGGAGGAGGCTGGTGGTTTATGGATTTACCATAGGCTGTAAGTATACAAATGACCACCAGAGAGCCTAGAGGGTGGGATCTCTTATATCTCTTTGCTGCCATCTAGTGGTTATATGCCTTCATACTAATTGATGGTACAGTATATCTACTATACCAATTGGTGATTTCAAGATGTATTGGTTTGGCAATTCCCAAAATTCCCCTTTGAACCTTTGGTTCAGTTGGAAAAGGCATCCTATTCTCATTTGCCCACCTATAGAGTAACTTCAGCTAGGCATTGTATCTCTCATATTTTGAGAAAAAAAAGGCCGAATTAATATGTTGCAGGAAAGTCCATGTTTTGTAGAAGTGCAAAACATCTCTCTTTAAAAAGCTTAAGGATTGCACACACACACACACACACACACACACACACACACACACACAAACATACACACACACACAAAGTTTCTATGATAATTGAGCATGGAAGGTTGAGTAAGACTTGAATAGGCCTAATATCTTGTTAGCTCTTCAAGGTAATCTAGACAAAAATTACAATTATGAGTATTAACTCTATCATAGGCTTCATCAATAGAATTTTGTAAAATTGAAAATATTTCTCCACTCTTTTACTTCTACTTTCCAGAAAACTAGGAGAGGGTCTCTTCTGAAACTCTTCCCATGCTCCCCAATCTTTTGGTGACTAATATATCTTTTATATGATGGTTGTCTAGTCCGCAGCTCTTCCTCCTGTTTCCCAAGATCCATTTCACACACCATCACAGTACATATCTTGGCTGAGCTTTTATTATTATGTTATCCTGGGACAAATGGGTCCACCTGATAGAAATGTTAAGAAGTAGCCCTCTTGCAGAAAGACAAGAAAACAGGTCTGGTTATCAAATCCTATTCCATACTCCTTCTCTCCTCTAGTTTACCAAAGGAAGAATAGACCACTCTATGTGACCTTGACACACAACAAAAATAGCCTTTGCTGAGACCCTGAAAAATGTCCAGACATTAACTGGTAATCTGCAAACTGCTTGGTTGGGTTGCACAACCTTGCCTTATGTACAAAAATATTCATTTTCTGCATCATGTTGTCATTTAGCGTCTGAATATTATTTTTGATTTTTTTTCTTAATTTTTTTCCTTCAACAGTTGGACAAAATCCTGTCCAACTGTGGATAATACAGTAATAAAATCTGTGCTCCTCTCGAAAAATTCCAAAACAAAAGATTCTCTCTTCACCACCACCATTTCAAAAGTACTAAAGACTCTCAAAAGCCCAGCAAATTAATGTAATCATTTCTAGTGCATGTGAATATTATTCTATAAGATTATGCATCCTGGAATAAAGGAATAAAGCAACAGTAACAGTATACAATAAGTGATAAAATAAAATTGGAGGCGAAAGTTTTTCATTTCCTAGGGAGTTTAAAGACATTAGCCAATCTTTTTTCAGAAGTTAAACAATCTTTTTAAAAAATTTAACACAGTCCAAGAATGTCAACACTTAAAATTTCAGTGGCTTGGAAAAAACAGGCCACACATTCATGTGTTTGTGAGTTCCTCTCCTGAAGGACTAAACTGGAGGCTGTTCTTTTCTCATGGTAAATTAAAGCCACAGACCTGCCCACTGAAAGCTCTGTCAACCGCTTCATTTAGCACAAGTGTTATGTTAACTAAATCCCTCACTGGCCCATTTGGAAGAGGCCTTTGGCCTCACAGAAGTCTCATTTCCATGTAATTTACATTGGAAAGTTGCCCGAAGCGCGCCTACCTTCACCGTTGCAACCACCTCCAACCCATTATTTATCCCCTGCCTGAAACAGAGGACTATTCCAGCCAGCAGTCTCTAACATTGGAGGGAGTGTTCCTCTAGGACCCATTTATATTGCTCGAGGTGCCGACCCCCCCCCCCCACACAAATGCATCCACTCATCTGCTGCCTGCGCAACATTTGCTGAGGGAATGGATTTGTGTTGAATCAAAATGTAAACCATTAAACTCAAATTAAATCATTATTCAGAACATCCTGGTTGTAATCAGAGGTGCACTTGACTGAAAACACTGACACTGATTCAGTGATATTTATTGTGTAGAGCTATAGTCTGTACCTCTTGTATTTTATTGCTCAGCCCTTTGGTCATCCTTCACAAGAGCTTTTACAAGGGTGGCTAAATGGACGGGACATGTCAAGGAAGAAGTATCCAGTTTCCATGAAGTGTAGGTAAACGATGATTCCTAATGTCTTTTGAAACTCCCTCACTGCAATGTGCAGTATTAGGACAGCGTTAACCAGGGGTGCAATTCAGCAGGTTCAGACAGGTTCTAGAGAACCGGTAGTGGAAATTTTGAGTAGTTTGGAGAACCGGCAAATACCACCTCTGGCTGACCCCAGAGTGGGGAGGGAATGGAGATTTTGCAATATCCTTCCCCTGGAATGGGGTGGGAATGGAGATTTTGCAGTATCCTTTCCCTGCCACCCCCACCAAGCCACGCCCACCAAGCCATGCCACACCCACCAAGCCACACCCATAGAACCAGTAGTAAAAAAATTTAAAACCCACCCACTGGTCTTCCTGTTGTGCAGCTATTTGTATGAAAGAATTTATATCCTATTTTAGTACTCCAGTGAAACAGTCTAATCCCAAATACCGTATTTTTTACGGTTTTTTTAAACTTTTGCTTGGATTATAATATTTAATTCTTTTGTGTGTATTATATTTTATATTATATGTTTATCTTATAGTTATATTATATATTTTAATTTCTGTGATCTTCCCAGAGTCATATTTGAGAGGAAGGAAGGAAGGAAGGAAGGAAGGAAGGAAGGAAGGAAGGAAGGAAGGAAGGGTATGTAAAACATCTGAAGGAGTTAGAAATGGTACTTTGGGTCAGCATCATACTTCTGAAGAGGTTTCAAGAGGCAGCTTTGGGAAGTTTTTTCCTATGTTATATACTGTGATTTTTAAAATATTGCCTATTTTAACAAAATAAACAGTAATGTTCAGATTACAGATCAGGGCTTTAGAAGCTTATATTAGAGGAAATAAAATGAAATAAACGTTGCCCATCTGTTAGTAGATGTAACCAACAGAAATCATGATAAGAGATTATAATAAATCTGGATTTGTCCTTCAAAGAAATGTAAATATAAACCATTCTTGAACAAAAATAGCAAGTAATATAACAGCTGCGCCTGCCTACTGCAAAACTGAATCTCAGTCATAACCTTTTAAACTTTAAAATTCATTGTCATTAAGACACCTAAAACAGGAGTGAGTATGTGATATACTGGGGGGGATATATAGTTCAATTTAATTCCTGACCTTAAAACCTTTCACATTTTTTGGCTGGATTCAAAGAACACACTCAACCAAGAAATGTTAACAGGGATTACCAAGGAAAGTGTATCTGAGGCTACTAAACAGTTGCTAAAATTTAATGAAGAAGAACAATAAGAATAGAAAAAGATTAAGTCCTTTCCACAGCAAGCATTGCTTACTTAACATTTATGAGGTAATAGATTTTCACCTTCAGAAATAACAAGGTCATAACAATTTAGCAAGCAGCTTAAATAAATATACTCAGCTGTAACCCACAGAGCAACTTTCAAACTCAGGGCACACTCACACATAGAGTTTCGAAGTTTAGCTTAATTTCCCTGTGATTCCACAGCATCATTCTCTTAGTGGAGTTTTCTGTCAGCTCTGCTGTGATGCATATAACAAAAAACACTGATGAGAAAAAGACATTTCCCTCTTGAGGAGAACCTCTTCTTTCCCTGAAGAGTTCATACACTATGGTCTCAAAAACATCCATAGAAAACTGTGGTATAGGTAGCCCTTGACCTACAACTATTCGTTTAGTGACCATTCAAAGTTACAATGAAACTGAGAAAAGTGATGTAGAAACCAATCCTTGCACTTACAAAGATATTTAGGTGATATGGAATCAGGTGATCACCATTGGTGACCTTCCCAGTTGACTTCCCACAAGCAAAGTCAATGGGGGAAGCCATATTCACTTCACAATCACACAACTCACTTAACAACTCCAGAGATTCACTGAACTGTGGCTAACGAAGTCATAACATCATGTATGACTAGCTTAACAACTCTTGTGGCCCGTACATGGCCTGTGCGGCTGGTGGCTGATTCGGACAGCGAGGAGGCTGGTGTGGTGCTGCGCCAGCAGTCTGTGTAGCTGGCACTCGAGTCGGACAATGA